TGTACCCCTCGGTCCTGATGAAACTAGAGGTGCTGAGCGCGGGCTTTAGACTCTATCACTGCCATACTTCTCTTTGCAGAACTCTGCTTTCATCATCTCATTCTTTGATCTAGAACATACAGAGGTTCTTTGGTACCCAAAACATCTTGTCTCAACACCGTGCCTGGCTTTCAAGATCTCCCCGATTCTGGCCGCGTGCGTGCATCTTTGGTTCTCCTCGGGCCTGTTTCTTGGCCATCCTCACCATGCACCCAGCAGGTCTGCACCCTGTACCTCTGTAATCTCACTTCTTCATTCTCCCGGTCTTGTTCGTCTTGGATCCAAGCCCTTCCCATTACTGCATGCATTGCTGCATCTTTGCCCCTCCAGTTGACCCACCTTCTCCAAATATAAATCCATTCTCCAAGGCCCCAGTTTCCAAACCACCCATACCAGGAAGCCTTTCCTGACTGCTCTGGCCCGCTCAATCCTTGCTATCTGGAATTAGGCAGCATTTTGAAAGTGTACCACAGACACACTTCCCTTCTGCTTTCTTCTCCGTGTGTGCCTCTGAGATGAAGTTGAGATGGGGTCGCAATCTAAGGGATTCTTTTTATTAGCCCTCACGGTCCTTCCCTCCCACCTGTAACTTCACTCAGTGTAAGGAACTCAGTACATTCCGAGTTTGCAGAGGAGGGTGTTATACAAGCATGTTCTACTTAGGAGGCTGTGACATCTCCCTGAAGGGAGTGGATATGAGAGAGGAGAGAGTCTACAAAAAGCTTGTGACCCGGGCCCCCGCTGTGTCACCGCTCCTGCAGCACCTCTTACCTAGGTAGTAACCATAGGTGGCTTGTTTGTATTCTTCCCAGGAAATTTTATCATCCTTGTCCCTATCATAATCCTTCCAGACTTTGGCGACATTATCGAAGATGTATCTTTTCTGCACCCTTTTGATCCAGGTTTTCAGCTCCTCAGTAGTGACAAAGCCATCCCCATCATTGTCGATTCGATCAACAATCTTTCTGCAGTACAAAAAAAAAAAAAAAAGAAAAAGAAAAGAAACCCACACACATGCACAAGGCTATTATTAAGGCTTTGTGTGATGCTGGTCCAGCAAAAGATCAAACACCTGCACAATCTAAAATGCACAAACAACTACAACAGAATCAATGATCTAAGGAGGCTGGAAGGAATCTTCAAGTTTATGCTTTCACGGTTGATGTGCTTTCCCCCGACCAGTGCCGATGGCAGACACCGCTAATGGATTGTACCCCTCGGTCCTGATGAAACTAGAGGTGCTCTCAGAATTCTCAGCATTGTGCTCTGGTGATGGCCACTACCAATGCATCAGAGCTGATCTGTTAGATGAAACCTATTAATCTTCCCTGCTGTAGTCCAACACCCTCATTTTGGAGTAATGGAAACTGAGGCCCAGAGAAATGGAATAACTTTTCTAAGATTACACAACCAGTATTTGGTAAAACTGGGGTGAGAATGCGTGTCTTCTGGCTTAGGTCCAATGCAAAAAGTGGAAAATTGTATGTAAATCAAAAGATAAGTGAGTTTTGTTTTTTTTTTTAAAACCCCACCACGGTGGACGCAAAGACTTGACACTTAAAGCAAGAGGACACCAGATGGTGGACACAGCACAAATGTCAGGGCTGAAGGCGCCTTGACATCATGGAATCTACTCACGAAACTTGACCAGCTGATCCGCTCTAGGAACCTTAAACCCTTTGCTCTTAGGGTAAAGGCTCCTATACCAGCTCCACGGCTGGCCTAGGTTTCAGGAACTTCCCACTGAACTCCACTGAGGTACCCTAAATGCTAGCCCAGAGCAAACTTCAGGCTGGGAACTCACTTTTGTCATCTCTAGATCAGACGGTCCCAAACCAGGACAGCATTCCGGTAGGGAACTTCAAAAACACCCCCAAGCTATTCCCAGTGTTTAAAAAAGTTTCACCCTTGTAGTCCATTTACCTGGGAGGAGGTCATACAGGCTAACTCTAGATTTCGTTCTTTGGGGCTGGAATTCTATCAGCTTCAGTGGCAAAACTTTCTCACTTTTCAACAGACCTTCTGATTGGCAATTAAGCTTTGATTAATAAAAAGTGGGAAACAAATTCATCAGTAGTTTGACAGAGAAAATCTCCTATAACTTTTTTCTAGGTGGGGGGAGGGTGTACACCAGACGGGGAGGAGTGAATAATCAATGCCTCCACCTCCTACCTGAACCCAAGAGCCCAAGCTCCTCTTTCTCAGGAAGGTGTAAACATCACTAACAGCTTGAAAGTGCCCCTTCATTTGCACGTTTAACAGGCCTCATTCCTAAAAGATAGGCTGGACCTGTGATCCCAGTGCTTCAGGAGGCTGAGGTGGGAGGACTGAGGTAGAAGGCCAAGAGTTTGAGAGCAGCCTGGGCAACACAGTGAGATCCTGACACCACAAAAAATTTAAAAATTAGCCAGGCATGGTGACACATGCCTGTAGCCCCAACTACTCGGGAGGCTGAGGTGGGAGGACTGCCTGAGCCCAGGAGGTCAAGGCTGCAGTGAGCTATGATTGCACCACTATGCATCATAGCCTGGGCAACAAATCAAGAACGTGTCTTAAAAAAAAAAAAAGACTAAAACACTAAACTTCAAGCGTCTTCAGGCTTCTTCCCCCAGGAAATCATAGTCAGACACAGCAGAATTATTTTAACATTGTGCAGTGTTGAGCCCAGGTATGTGCCAAGCACTGCTCCAATCCTGGGGACACAGTGGAGACATGCCAACGGGTTACCCAAAGCCAACTGGGAAACAGAATCTCAGGCTAACGACATCAGACTACAATCCTCTTTTGTGGAAAGGATAGCATCTAGTCTATGCCAAATAAACATCTAGGACGTAGCTCAGCCTGACACATAGTAAGCACTCAATAAATATTTGTTGTAAGAATAAATAAGATCTTAACCTTCTCTTTAACAATCTCAAATGAGATCCTGGGAAAGGCAGCTAGGGTGGAGATGAAGCCCAGCACTTCCATCAGAACACCTGGATCACCGTCCTCCCTCTGGTCCCCATTATCTGCGTGATCTTGGGCAAGTGTATTGACTCCCTGAGTTTCTCCATGTGTAAACTGAACACCTACTTCACATGGAATGTTGTGAGGAATAAAGGAGAGAATGCATGCCTTTCCTCACTAAAGACAATAATCTAGATCAGTGGCGGATGGTAGCTGCTACACAGAAGCCATTCAAATGTTTGTTGCATGAATAAATTAATGAAATCAAGGTGTTGATACAAGGAGCAAACCCAGACCAACTCCATCATCATTTGTTCTTAACACCAACAGGTAACAGAATGAGCAAAACCTCTCAATAGGACCTATTGCCACTTGGAGATACCCTGCTAGCCGCCAAACAGGGCTGACCAACTCTGCTGTAGAGGATGACTGACACATGGGAATAAAGGTGTCAAGAGAAGCCAGATATGGGGGTCTGTATGTGAAATCATTCAAACTTTAAATGTGGGCAAGTAATTTACACTGTGTGGCATATTTGTGAATGCATGCAGCCTACAGGTTCCCACTTTGCAAACCTCTGGCCCAGGTGTCTTTAGGGGCCTTAGAGCTGTCACATTTTCAGGACTGACAGGTAATGGTGACAAAGTTGCCTAGATCCAGCCACACTCATTCCTCCTCAGCCCAATCATGGAGGGGACCACTGAAACAAGCTGTGGATAGAGAGGCAGCTTCTCACACGCAGCCCCATCCCAAACTGGACCCATAATTTCCAGCACCTCCTACCCCGCCTCTACCCCAGATTTAACCTACAAGCGAATGGTGCATCCATCACCCATCTGGTGGCTCAGCCCAGAGACCCAGATGTCCCCTTGATTCCTACCTCCCTCCTCTCCCCCTTGCTGAGTCAAGAGCAAGAGCTGCCAGTTCTACCTCCCACTGGTGTATAGATACATCGCCTCCTGGAATCCGGAGAGACCAAGCCCCTTTGGCATTTACCACCTCTCCCCTGCCACTGGTCTAGTCTATACCTCGATTATGTTCTTTGCGTACTGCCTCCTGCCAGCCTGACTTTCCCAGTGAATTTTGGGGATTATGACATTTTGACAACGTACAGGATAACATATCTCCATCTCACCAAGGTCCTTCCTGCTCTGTCCTTGGTTTCCCCTCCATTTCCACCTCTCATTTCCCTTCCCTGCCCCTTTGCAGACTCACCACCCCTCAGGCCCCAGAACACTTTTCAAACCCTTTAGAAATGGGCTGTTTTCTCTTCAGGAAGGCCTTCCCCTGCTGTACACCTGGCAACCTCCAAGTCATCCTACAAACTGATCAGGTGACAGCCCTAATCCCCTCTCTCTAACCTGCAGCCCTGGTGGCTCCTTCTCCTGGATGTGCTCACCATAGGTTTTATAGGGCATCATTGCAGCAATTGTGCATAATGGCTAGTTTGTGCTTCTCTCCTCCACATTTGCTTATAAGCACTTTGATGCCTAGAGCATAAGGTTTCATCTTTGTATCTTCCAGTTGTCTAAACTGGGGCCTGGTACACAGTAGCCATTCAAATGTTTGTTGCATGAATAAAGGAATGAAGTCAAGGTGTTGATACAAGGATCAAATCCAGACCAACTCCACCGTCACTTGTTCTCACTACTAGGCTGAACTGTCATGATGAAGGCATTAACTGGAAGCTGTAGGACCACACCTTATAAAGTTTTCCAAATCCCAAAACCTCTCCCTGCCTCCTCTCCAGTGACAATGTGGCTACCACTCAGGGCTCCAGAATAAATCAGTCTCCAAGTGCCTCAAAGCAATACAATTGACTGAACTCATCAATGGCCCCCATTGTTAAGTCCTAACCGAGAAGAGAAAGTACTGTGCAAGATAAAAGGTAATTGTTTGGAGGTGACTTTGAAGTTCAAAGGTCTTGTTATCAGAGCAGGCAGATGGTGCACCTACACAATAGGTATAATTTATCCTCATATTCCAATGAAACACTTTGGTCTTTGGAGGGCCCCAGGAGCACAGGGATGGCTGTGTTCTCTTTCATGTGGCAGAACGTGAAGATCCTCCACCCCCAGGAATCAGGTTCAGGGAGATCTGAGACCTGGTGCCCAGTAGGCAGGACTGCTGGTTTCTTCCCCAGCCCTGCCTCCATCTGGGACCAGGCTGCCTGCTGGGTCCTCTGAGCAAGGACCAGCAGATATCTCCGCACAATGCCCAAGTGTCTCCTCAGGGGGACCCAGGAAGGGTGTACTGAAATGTGCCAAAGTTTTGTTTCCCGGGTTTGGTTCCTGACTCAACTGCCTTTAACAGCCCAAGTGAAAATCCTCCACCACCAAGAGCACCCTCCAGCTTTTTGCCCCCAACAAATCAGTTGCCAAAGAACTGAGTGCTTATGCAGACATCTGCTGCCAACAGAAACGTTTCAGGCCACCCGTTTCCATTCCTGCTCCTTCGTGTTTCCCATCGGAAACTGCGTGTCCCCGGATTTTTGTATCCCTACACTAGATTTTATTTTATTTTTTATTATTTTTGAGATGGAGTCTCACTCTAGCCTCGGCTGGAGTGCAGTGGCACAATCTCGGTTCACTGCTACCTCCACCTCCCGGGTTCAAGCGATTCTCCTGCCTCAGCCTCCCAAGTAGCTGGGATTACAGGCGTGTGCCACGACGCCCGGCTAATTTTTGTATTTTTAGTAGAGACGGGGTTTCCCTATGTTGGTCAGGCTGGTCTCGAACCCCTGACCTCAGGTGATCCCTCCGCCTCGGCCTCTCAAAGTGCTGGGATTACAGGAGTGAGCCACCGCGCCCAGCCTCCTTACGATAGATTTACAGGGCGATTAGGCAAAAGGCAAGACCACCTGGCCGAGACTAGGAAGCAAGCCTGTCACTCGCCTGCCCCTTCATCTTTTATCCATTCATGTTCATCCCTGAGACCTTCTTAGCGAGTGTCTCAAGCCCTTCTCGCCGGAAGTGGGGGATCAGAGAGAAACTGCGAGAGGGTAGGGAGGAACTCATGTCACTAACAGGCCACTGTGGACAAACTCTTCTTTTGTGCACTCTCTCCCTTCCCTTCTGATGCAACCCGGGGGAGGGGGCGGGCCCTCGCCGTCCTGGCTACCGCGGCCGCTGCCACGTTCTCGCCTCCCCGCGAGAAACCACCCAGGCCGGGGCGCGGCGGCGATCTCCACGCTGGGGTCCCGGGGCCCTCCGGCAACTCAGCCTGAGCCCCGGCGCCGAGTCGGGCAGGCCCCCGCCCTCGGGGCCGCGCGCGCGATTTCGCTTTCGCTTTGGCGGTGGTATCCCGCGTGGCTCCCGCCCAGACGGCCCCTGGACACCTGCGCCGCCCCCCGGGGGGACCTGGCCGCGGCCTCACCCCAGTCTCTCCTTGCTCTCGTCCGGGGTGAGCTGGTCGAAGGTCTTGGAGTCCTCCTTGCCTAGGAAGGCCTCGTGGTCGTACTGGAAGCTCTGGTTGTCCTCAGGGGGCCGCTCGCCCAGCTCCGAATCGGGCCGCACCACGCGCTCCTTGCGCACCGTGGGCTTGGCCCGCAGAACCC